CTGCTGCTTGTAGTCATGGCTCGGGTAGCTTATTAACTTTCAATTTGAGACCCCCATGACCCATATACGAGACACGGAACTGCGAGCGCGTTAACAAGCGTTCCCAAGTGCTCTATTTCTCTTTCTCAACGCGTCCAAGGGCCCGCGTCTCGAGACTCGTATACCTTCAATTTTCTGTTACGATGAACTTCCAGCGTTGTCGTTTCACCGTGAACAATTGTAGCCCGAAGTATCGCAGTAAGTAATCAGCAAGACCTTGGTACGCCCGTGAAACCAACAAAGACGATCTCGCAGAAATCAGAAGCCCGGCAGAACTGAATTCTACCTGTGGAATTCTCCGAGCTGCGCGAATTTCGATCGATTCGAAGATCGGAACGAATCGAGCCGCGTTTTCGTGGCTACGCGAATCGCGTTCGGATACCTGAATTTCGATCGAATCCGCGTCCCGCTGGAATTTCAAAGTCTCGAGAGTCAAAGGGCGACGCTCGTCATCCTATTTCATCGCTGAATGAACAGCGGCTGTCGCTGCGATCCCGAGTTCGAACCGCCGATCCGTGAACATTCGGGACGAGACGAAGAAACGACGAGATAAAGAAACGTCGCGGGGGGATACTCACCCTGTGATTCACAGAAAGGCAAACTCGAACGCCCCGCGACCGCGTTCTTTCTCTGGCTCTCTCGGTATTCGGGGTAGCGTTCCCCGATCAGGCGGGCTGCATCGTCGCTGGATCGGTGCACTGATCGAAACAAGGTCGACGGAGCTTGATCACTGGCCACCGGGACCCTCGAACGTCCGTCCTAAGCCGCGCGAACGACCATTCACCTTCCCCACGAGCACAGAATCCTCGGCTACAAGCAGACCAACAAGAAACGAGAGGGTTGAAACGCATGCGAGACCTGGCAACGGGGCTGGGACTGGCTGGGATTCATTTTCTCGAATCACCGAAAAACAAAAAGTTTTTCATCCAAATGTTTATATTTAAGTTCGGCTTTTTTCGTTTGTTCTTCTATACTTTTGGTGTTATTTTTGTATTTCGTATGTCCTTCACTGCTACCATATTATTACTCTCTTTCTCCCTCACACTCCTTCTCTTCCCCTCTCTCTCTCTCACTCATTCTAACAAAGGGTTCATTCAGTTGATAAATAATAAATAAAGCTATTGTTCATATTATAATATTAATATTATAAGTTAATATTATATATAATATTAATATTATAAGTTAATATTATATATAATATTAATATATATACTGAATATTATATATAATATTAATATTATAAGTTAATATTATATATAATATAATATTATATACTGATAAATAAAGTTATTATTATTATTATTATTATTATTATAACTTTGTCTCGAAGCCTGGAATTTCGACCGATAGCTACAACCGTTTCACCGATTCCGATCGAAGTACGAAGCGAGACCGCGACTCTGCGATTTTAAACTCTGATCCATCCCTTGTTTTCTTCGCTTCCAGCCTTCTGTTTACAATCTGCTGCCGGCCGTGCTCCTATATTACCCGTTGTCCTCGAAACATAGGGACCAGAGTTTCTTTAGAATCGAGCGTCGATTATGACACAGTTTAATTCTCAAACTATAAGTTCGATATTAAGAGCGACCATAAGTTTACAGATAGCACGCTTGAAGGTACAGTAATGTCTCCCTAACCGACGCTCGGATCGTGTAGAAAAACGGACAATTTTGGAAAGAGGAGATACGATTATTCGAGTCCTGTAGACCGTTTTTATAGTTGTCGAAAATCGATGTCCATAAAAACGACCCGAAAACCTCGAACATCCGTATCTCCTCTTCTCACGTTGTCCATTTTCGTGGACGATCTGTGCGCCAATTAGAGAGACACTAACTGAAGATCTCAAAAACCGTCCCCTGTTAATTTACTGAGATTATCGGAAAGTGGAGCAACCCCGTCGTTGTCGCAGCAACCTCTTCGATTCCAAGAACAACGTATTCGAAGCCAGACCCCGCCAACTCGATTATCTTCGGTTCTCCTTAATCGAAGGAGACAATTAAGAGGCGGCGAGAAACAGCGCCGAGCAGACAGACCGTAAACAGAGCCGCTGTTGCTAAGACGGCGAGAGTTCACCGGGTTCCCTAGGAATTAGCATAACCAGGGAGAGCAACAGATGAGGAGGAAAGGGCCGGGGACGCGAGTGATCGGGTGTGCGTTACTCTGCTCGGGAGTCCTGACAGGTGTCAGACGGAGAAAGGGCTTCGGAGGTAGGTGGCGAACGGGGGTCAAACACCGAGAAAGTTGAACGCGCGAGAGAGAGACCTCGAAGTTTCGCTGCGGGTCGCGGGCAGTTGTCATCCTTTCGCGGTCGGGGGAGGGTGAGTCCTGTCGAACCGGGAGCGACACCGGCGGATTCGGAGCCGAAGAGGACGAGGCCGGGAGGCGAACGCGCGAACGGGAACGGTGCCGTTCGAATTCCTGTTGGCGAACTCGACTCGAGAATTACGCTCGGGCGTAGAGCGTGCGGCGCGTACCCGCGGCGCGAGCATACTGCTACTCGCGGACGGTGGAGGCGGCTGCCTGCCTTCACCCTCTTCGGTATTGATCCACGTGGCCGGCACGACGCTCGCCGAGCAGCCCCGCCACACGATGGCTACCGATTCTCCTCCTCCTCCTCCTCCTCCTCCTCCTCCTCCACCTCCTCCTCCTCCTTCTCCACCACCCTATGGGCTTTCACGCGATTTATCAAATTCTTCGGGAACGTTAACCCCTCTTCTGAACTCTCCTCCGAATCCACGCGAATTTAGCTGCCTGATAGCCGCGGGGCGTTGTTGACCCTAAAAGCGGCGGGGGGGATGTTTTGGACGTTTCGGTCCAAGGGTGTCTGTCGAGCCGATATTAGGAACTTGGATCTGCAGGACAGGTCGGAGCTGCCGATCGACGATTACAGTTAGTTGCATTGATTCGGGTTTATCTTTGGCACGATGCGGTCTGTTGGCACCCTTTAGGCGGGACACGATGATACGCTGCACCGGGGCTCCGCGGTTCTGGAATTAATTGTTTCAGTGTTATTAAATAATATTTAATAATTGTATTAATAATATAATTATTATTATTATACAGGGTGTCCCAGGTTTTAATCCTTTGCAGTCGAAGCTATTTGAATTCGAAATCTAAAATATGATTTCTGATCTACAGTATTTCTATTTTATATAATTTATTGTGATTTATGCAAATATGAAATTGAGTCTATTGGCAAGTACAATGCAATTTTAGTAGCTTTTTTAAAATATAAACGAGTCTGATGCTCTTAGAATGATTTTGAAAAATAGTATACCAATTTTTAGTGTCGCCTCAGAGTCGCCGCTCGAGTGCAAAGGGTTAATGTTCAAACTCTGTTAGTGTATTCTATGACACAAGGTAAGAAAAAATTCAGAATAGGAATAGTAATCAACTTGCTGTTGCTGCGAGCATCGGCTTGAATAGATCAGCACATGCCGTGTGTTTATGGAAGCTGTGTTTATTAATACATTTCGAAATGTATTAATAACCGTTGTTGACAATACATGATTGACATCGATCGAAGATCTTTTTTTATTTTTTATTTTATTTTTTTAGTTGATTACTATTCCTATATATTCTGAATTTTTGTTATAACTTCTTCATAAAGCTCTATACGACCTATGTTTACATAATATTTTTGTCTTACTTTGTGCCATAGAATACACTGACAAAGTTTGAACATTAAAACCTGGGACACCCTGCATTTAATAATAGTTCTTCAACGAACTATTGTTCATGACCTTGCAAAAGCTCACGGATGATAGAAATACGACAAATACAATATCGGATCTCGGTGCTTTTTTTTCTAAGTATTAAGGACTTGTTCTGCAGGGAGCTGAATGCGTCGGTGCTTCGTTGGATCATGTTATCGGGGCCGAGTTGTTAGTTCATGATCTAGGTACATCCTACTTCTGAAACTGCAGAGATATCGTTCAGTTATGCGCACAACGAACGATCAAGATATATTTCTCCATAATCTAGATCTCTGATGAACGCGTTCTCAATAATTTAACAATCCTCAACTTCGAAGAGTTAACATTACTGCAAGTAGTTCTTATGAAATAATCGGATAGATAATGTGTTAAACTGTGGAGACGAAGGATGAACTCAATTGGCAAAGTATTCTGAAATTCAATTATCATAGGTAACCGTGCACATGTGACTCGAGTTTTTCATCCGGAGTCCTTCAATTAGCCAAGCCTCCCGAAGAGCGGAACAATGAAATTTCGATCGTGGCTCGTATGTAATGTAATTTCGACGAGAGGACGGACGGTTGAATTAAAGGTGAGGATCGCGTTAATGTGTTTCTGGTGACGAAGCTGTAAATTTCAGGTCGTTCCGATTCGTACAGGGGGTTGAAAGCCGAGGGGAGAGAAATTAGAATATAGGTCGTTACCCAATTTCCTTGCGCGAAAACAATCCTCCATTACATCAAAAAGTAATCGATGTGGGAAAAGCTAACAGTGAATTCCGACTTCCTTCCGGGTCTCTTCTGCAGAAACCTCCTCGTGGAGATACATGGGCGATTGGTATTATCCTTGATTTCGAAGATCCTGGAGAATACCGAGCTAATGGCTGCACAGTTGGCTGAATGCAATAAAACTTTAATTTTCGTATTTATTTATTACCCCACAGTTTTTTTATCTTCCAATATCATTTGGAAAATATTTCTTCAACGAATTATTGTTCATGATCTTACAAAGGCCTACGGATAGTAGAAATGTTTTTCAGTTACCGACACTGTATACATGCGCGCTATTACGGCGCCTCCTTCGGAGAAAAAGTGAAGCTCGGTATGATGTCGGTAGTGTCAAAACTCTCGAACTGTTAGCCAAATTACCGACAGTCGAGTTTAGCTAACAGTTTGAGCATTTCGCCACTACCTCAGTTGGCGCTGTACGGACATCGAATCGAGCTTCACTTTTTCCCCACAAGAGGCGCCACAATTGTCAAAAGAAATAACGGTTTAATTTGCAGAAAATCATAATTAGCCAAAGTTATAGTAATTTATAGCATGAAGTGGACGCATGGAATCGTTACAAACATTTTGAGACCAGTATCGTTAATTTTGAACTACTGGTTCTCGAGATATTCAATTTTATCTCTTTTCGAATTCGACCATTAAGTAACATTGTGATCTGTTTTCATTGTACGTTCTTTAATTCACAATAAATTAAATGTTACATAAAATGACTACAACGAACAATTATGAATTCATTAGACTTCGCAAAAAGTAGTCACTGACTGTCAACACCAATTAACTGGATATCTTGTAGATATCGCGTCATATATATACGCAATTGTTGCAAGTGAGGGTCTGTTGTTGCACCATCCGTGCTACATTTTACATAAAATTGTAAGTTTCAGCAATGTATAGATGAGAATTCAGTAATTGTTTAAGTAAAGTGAAGATTCCGTAGTGGATGTAACAACTGAGTGCTCATAATTCTCCAAATTTAGGGCATTATCGATGTATTTGTCAAGTACTTTGTATCATTCATAACCTCAAGAACGTTTATTAGGTTAGACTCAGAATGGCAGACGTACGCGATATATTGGACATTGAAGTGCCCACGACCAGTGAGCTCACGAAGGAGTCGATTATAGGAGCCGAGAAAAAGAACCGAAAGAAATATGAGTATAAAGTACCCAAGCGACCCGAGGGTATGCACCGTGAGGTGTTTGCATTGTTGTGCAAAGACAACAACGACGTACCACCACTGTTTCCAACGGACACAGCAAAAGGATACAAGCAAGTCCGAGCTAAGCTTGGTATGAAAAAAGTTAGACCATGGAAGTGGACTCCTTTTACTAATCCTGCGAGAACGGACGGAGCAGTGTTCCACCATTGGAGACGAGTAGCCGATGCTGGCAAGGAATATCCCTTTGCGAAATTCAATAAAAAGATTCCTATTCCTTCTTATACTAATGCAGAATACGTACAACATTTAGTAACAAATGGGTGGACCAGAGCAGAAACGGATCACTTGTTCGATCTGTGCAGAAGATTCGATCTAAGGTTCATAATAATAAAAGACAGATGGGATCGTACCAAGTTTCCTGCTAGATCTGTAGAGGATTTGAAAGAGAGGCAAGCGCGTGTTCTATAAATTTCTATCTCTATATTTCTTTATCGTGCGGTAATCTATATTTTTCAAAATTGTTTAGGTATTATCAAGTGTGCGCCGCTCTAACAAAAGCAAAATCCCATACTGATAAGGTCTATATATTTGATGCAGAGCATGAGAAGCGTAGGAAAGAACAGTTGAAGAAATTATTCGAGAGAACACCGGAGCAAGTAGAAGAGGAGCAAATGTTATTAGCTGAATTGAGAAAGATCGAACAAAGAAAGAAAGAAAGGGACCGGAAAACCCAGGATTTGCAGAAATTAATAACTGCTGCCGATCATCAAGCCGATCCCAGAAAGAATGAAAGAAAACCTCCAAAAAAGAGTGGGGCTTCCTCTAGAAACAGACCAAACAAGACTGATACATCTCACGTAAGTAATTTATTGTTACGCGCTAATACTAGTATGGTTCGTGCGGACAATACAAAGTGCATCTTCATTTTCAGACGGTCGAATCAGCCGGTATCAAGTTCCCAGATTTTAAGAATAGCGGCGTTTCGCTCCGTTCCCAGAGAATAAAGTTGCCAAGTAGCTTAGGTCAAAAGAAAATGAAGGGTATCGAACAAATGCTTAACGAATTGAGGTTAGAATTGAATCCACCGCCTACAGAACAGATTTGTCAGCAATTCAACGAGCTAAGAAGCGACATAGTTTTACATTACGAGCTCAGGAGCGCTCTGTCAACTTGCGATTACGAATTGCAGTCGTTGAGGCATCAGTACGAGGCTCTTGCACCTGGGAAGGTAATTCGAATGCCAAAAACGTTGCTAGTTCAACAATTTACGATACTTCAGGATTCGATAATCAAAATCTCATAATAAATAATTTCAGACTCTGACGATACCGCCGGCGTTGCTACCAAAAACCGAACCGGAAGTCAAGGCAGATATAATAGATGTGGTGGGATCACCGAGCATGCCAACGATTACTCCACTCTGAAATGAACTAATTTCTTCTCCCAGCTGTATATAATTAATTTTTGAGCGTTACGTGTGTTATTATTACCAATTACGTGTGTTACTGTACCAATTTTTTATATTGTGTCGGATAATGATTAAAAATAATTTGACGGACAAAGTTGTCGTTACCCGTAAGCTATTTATTTATTTTCTAAGAAAAATGTTCAATGAAACGCAAAGACCGGGGTGAGATTGATTGCGGTTTCGAAAATAAAAAAAGTAACGAAGCAAGGAGAAAATCGAGGTGGTTATTTTTTATTTAAAATAAAATCTGCCGAATGCCGGCACGAACGTGGATGAATGCAAAAACAATCGAGAGGCTTACTTATATATCTGTGTATTTTATATTGTCGACAAAAAGTAACAATGTACGGTCAAACCGTATAATTTATCTACAACAATCTACAATAGATTACAATATGTTGTCTTGTTTCTTGTTGAGGGTTTAGAGGGAGGCAGGAATTATTAGAATAACGAGGGGAAAAAGGTGGATTCTCGGCGGGGCTGGAGGGGGGAGGGCAGGATCGGGGGGGGGGGGGTAAAAGTGTGGAGAGGAAACATGGTCGATGCAGGCCTTTCTTCGTTCGTGCTCCGTTTAATCGCGATACAGTTGACTGTTTTATAATTCTATATTAAATTACTCGGTAGCCTCTAGCCGTACTTGGTACGGAATAATGCATATATATGTGTCTTCTGCTTCTTAATGATCGATAAACCCACCGCCCGACTTTTTTTTCTGATCTACGCCGTGCCGTGAGGACTCTCTCGGTCGAAGTTAACTGTTAAAGAGCAAGAGAAAAAGAAAGAAGGAAAGAAAGACAACGACGTGAAAAAGAAACACCGGGCTCCGTTGACCCGTATATCCGACGTATTGTTCCGAGATAGCGCATCCCCTTTGCCTATCTTTCCGCCCACTGAGCAGCGCGCTGACGCTTCGATCCAGTTCCTACGCGAATCCAATTTCGACGATCACCCGGTAGCTTGATCGTTAAAGCGGTACTCGGCGATTTAATTAATTTCAGAGGCAACCGGAGAATAATTTGTTCGCCGACGGGATACTTCGAAAGCGATTAAAAGCGGACGAATAAAAACCGGTTCGGCGAACGTATCTCGATCAAAAGCATCGCGTTCTCCTCGCCTCGCTTCGCGATCCAATCGATCCGAAAGAATCCGCCGCTAATACTATGCAACCGGAAGCTATTCACGCGCGAAATTCACGTTGGAATTTATCCCGTTGCGCGATAGAAGTCGTTGTCGAAAGGTCAACGGCGGCTCGAACCCCTTGCCAAACGATTTCTTTCACCGAAACAGTTCCTCGTGCTCGAGTAAAATTGGTCGAAATCTTGATCACGCGGCAAAGGGTTGAAGTGTACAAGTTGCCAAAAAAGACTCGCGTAAATTCGTAAGCGATCAACTACCCCGATTTACCGTCGATCCTCGCGGTTGAACGGATTCGATATTTTTTGTTGCGGATTAAACTGCGGTCGATCGGCGTTATCTTTTATTTCGTATCGCGCGCGTGTGTTTCGGAGTGATTGAAGTTCCCAGTCGGTTGACAGGCCGGCGAGAAACAGTTCTCCGTCGGTGTATCGCAAATGGAAAAACAAATCGACGATGCCCGAGCTGCTTGCCACCACGGTTCCGAAGGGGCGGAGACGCGCGGGTCGCGCGATCGCGACAGGGGATGATGAACGATCGAGCGCGTCAGCGCGATCCGTTCGACCGAATGTCCGTCACGCTTTTTCAGGGGTTGATCTCCTTCCTTTGCCCACGCGGAGAGCCCGATCGGCGATGTTCTGGATTCTGGCACAGCAAACGTGGGGTGGGGCGGGGTGAAACCAGGGAAAAAGAATCGAGCCACGAATAAAGGAACGCCGCTGCTGCCAAACATACGTGTCTATATGTACATACATACACCCTGCTATACATGTATACATGTACACACATACCGGTAGCAATAATAGTAACAATAATCATAATGCTAGTAGCCGTAAGAATAAACGGTGGGCCCGGGTCGTTCACGCGGATCGACGCTTGTGTGCAAAAATTCGTTCCTCGTTTCAACGAGGAATTTACGAACCGTAGAAAGACGAAAACAATTTCTTCGGGGATCTTCAATTTTTCAGCGACTCCCGAGCGCTCCTCCTCGTTTCCACCCATTTTCGTCACGCGCTTCAATTTAATCGACAGCATTTTATTCGTAATTGCGCGTTTCAAATGCACAAAGTAGAACGTAATTGCGAAACGTAATAACGAAACCAAAGATCTTCCGGTAAGCGGAGACAGAAACTGGGTGAACGTTCGCTCCGAGAGCGTAAGAGGGTTGGCAACGATGGCTGTTCCGGTAATCCTCGAAAGTTCCTCGAGAAGTTCCGCTCGAATGTTCGCTAGACTTTTCACCTCTTAAATCCTGTAAATCATTCGATTTCTCTCGAATTCTGTTCTACAGCGACTTTGCAAACGAAGCAAAAATTGGCGAATTAGAATACCATAGATCATTCCGACGGCTACTTCCGAGGAACGTGCGAGGATTAATAGACTTCCGGTAATCGATATCTCGCGAATCCGTGATTCCGAGAAAGCTTCCTGCTGTCTTTCCACGGTTGGCGCAACGATTTCGATAGCACAGCGATCGCGCGAAGGTCCGTGGCCCGCCAACAAGTAACACGAACAACTTGTAATGTACAGAGCGAGCGTATGGTCGATGGAAGAAACCGGAAACGAGACCGTCGGAGTCCTCGAGGGCCCCACCTCGCAGCTATGAACACGAAAATGGACCTTAGAACGCAAGAAGAAAACCGCGAAAGTAATTCTCCCTCGTCCGGTGTCTATTTGTTGCCACCGAATCTCCGGCGTGCAGCATGCTCGTGTGCTCTCTTCCACCGACGATACGCGTTCGTTTAACAAAACCTTCTCCCTTTCTCTGTCACCTCGCGTGTCGCGCCTTTTCCTCCTTTTTTCCATCGTCTCTCTCTCTCTCTCTCTCTCTCTCTCTCTCTCTCTCTCTCTCTCTCTACAATAGGTTTTCCTTTTACACTCCCCCCAAAACCACCCTCCTCTCTCCGTTCCGTTTCCATTTTTCTGTTCGTTTTTTATTATTTTTTTTTGTTTTGTTTCGTTTCGTTTTGTTTCTGTTCGGTTGCACAACGGGAATTTATTGATTCGACGACGTTCGAGCGATCCTGCAACTGACCGGAGAAGAGACTTGTCTCGTTAGCTTTTTTTTGCTTCGTTTATAATACCATTAGTAGTTTTTATCTTTATCGTTATTTTATTTTTTTTTGTGTGTCGCTTTTGCTGCAAGTTTTTCTTCGTATAACATGTAACATGAGAAATCGTATTCTTATTCGTTAAAGACATTCCCTACACAACACGGCTACGGTAATGCGTCATGGATATGTGCGCAAGTGCGTGTGAAGAATATAGGGGGAGAGGGAGAGGGAGACAGAGAGGGAGAGAGAGAGAGAGAGAGAGAGACAGACAGACAAAGAGGGAGGGAGATGGAAAGCTTGACAGAGCTTGGGAGTGAGAAATAGCATGAAAGAGAGCATGAGGGAAAGTGGGGGAGAGAGAGAGAGAGAGAGAGAGAGAGAGAGAGAGAGAGATGGAGAGAGAAAGAAAGGGAGCAAGGGACATGGAGGCGCAAGCAAGAAGACGGGGACAAGGTTCTAAGATACAAGGGCCAGAAGAGAGAAGAACATCAGGGTCTCTGCAGAACAGGGCAGGTCGTTTCGGGTCGTTAGGGGTCGTTAGGGGTCGTTTCGGGTGTTCGGATCGGAGCCGGGCGAATTCGGGACTGTCGAAGTGTGTCCGCACGTACGCGCGCGTACGCACGTGCGCACATAGGCACACACGTTTTTTAATAAAGTTTATATGTATAGACTTCTGTATATATCTGCTAATCATTGATTTCCGTCTTTCCGCGGTTATGTATATATATACACATAGGTATATGTACAGTACATATATATGTGAATATATATAATCGCTATAATAGTAACATATACGCTCGACAATTGCGCTGACTTCTTTTTTTCTCTCTCTCTCTCTCTCTCTCCCTCTCCATCCCTCATTCTCTCTCTGGTTTGTATACACATTCTCACTCGCATTCGCTCATCGCCACGCACACTGTGTCCCTTGCACCCCCTTTGTCTCTTCCTCTCTCTCTCTCTCTCTCTCTCTCTCTCTCTCTCTCTCCCCCCTGTATCTCTCCGTTTCGCTCTCTCTCTCTCTCTCTCTCCCTCTCTCGCACACACGCTTCAGCTTGCCTATAATTAATATTCTATCCTGTAATTGTATATAACTACAACGCTATGGTAGACAACAACAAGTAATGTTATCCTAAACTTGTTCTCACCTGCATTTTCTCTATGTCGTATTTCGTATATGTCGTAAAAATGTTGTATATAATGATATTAATATTGTTTATATATTCTGTATTATTGCACGCGGACGCGGACCGCGACGGCGCCGGTCGACACGATCGGAAATCGGATTTCGATCTCTACGTTAATTAACCCCACCGGTTACGGGGTACCACCGGTTTTCTTCGACGTCGATTCCGTCGCGGCGAACGTTTGTTCACTTTTTTTAAACACATCAGCCCGTCACGTTTTCCGCTTTTTCTGTTTTTTTCCTTTTTTTGGATTTGCTTGTCGCGAGACGTTTTTTTTTCTCTCTCTCTCTCTCGTCCACTACATTACACTTCTTTATCTGTATTTTATTATGTTTACTTTTTTTGTTTTTTGGTATGCTTGCTTGTTTGCTTGCTTGTTCAACTATATTTTGTTTTTGCGCTTAAAACCCTCGCGTGTAATGCTCGCTTGCTCGCGCGCGCTCGCGTTTGTTTCAGCTTGTTCTCGCTCTAAGGATTATTTAAGCCCGAAAAACTCGCCGTCCTGCGTGAGGCGTGAGCTTGTAAACGCGTGGTCGTTGGTGCTGCAGCATGTAATATGTCCGCCATTGTTCGCGCGAAGGTACTTACTTTTACTTCTCTCCCTCCCCCTCTAACATGCTCGTTTTCTGTTTTTTGTCCCACCGGTGTTTTTTCCGTACGAAAGATTTTCTCTTGTTATTCTACTTTTTTTGCTCTTTTGCTTCGTTTTCTGCCTTACTAATCGTGATATATTGTTTTTTCTCTCTCTCACTCTCTCTCTCTCCCTCCCTCTCTCTCTCTTTCTCTCTGTCGCTCTCGTTTTTCTGTATGTATATCGAGACAAACGA